CATCATTGTAAAATCAATACATTCAATGTTGCACCCAGAATAAAAAAAAAAAAATTTGTACAACCAACTAAAAATATTTTAAGGGTGTACGATTTACCATATCGAGTATTCATAGTGTTAATTTATTAGCAGYTAGTCATTAGCAGACTATAAATTTACAATCGATTTTCGGTTAAAGTGCCTAGCGACCAGTACCTACCAACTACTTGCTTACTAAGAACTGCCAAGATCGATTTCACCCGATTCCTATTGGTGCACGTCACCTCGATTTGTAGTAATCAACTACTTACAACAATGTAGGYATAAAAAATCAAACCATAATCCAGTTTAATTATTATGTTGTAGCCGAAACATTWCAAGCATCTCCTAAGGATTACCTTGAAATAATCGCGCAGCTCAGCCATCGCTGACGATTAATCCTTAATGATATAATTTGAGCTGGGCTAATTGTAGCAGTCGTCTTTAACCGTAAAATAGACCATGACACCGAGATAAAGGCTGGACACCGCGGTTTTAAACAGCGATCAACGAGAGGTGCAAATTCTTTGACACAATACAAATTTGAACTATAGATTCTTCGTGCTTAAACAAAACATTTTACTTTTTCAACCTCTAAATGTCACGTACACTTTGTGACTCACACATTACAGACTTAATTAAAAAATCATTTTTTCAGCTAGCATTTTAARACGTGTTCATTATGTCATTTTCAATTGTTACTTTGACGTTTTAATGACGTTGATCATCGATGTACCTACGTGGATTTATCCAGTTGACAACAAACAATCGTTAATCCKGATRATCATTCTTCAATCATACTATCTACTAGTCTACTACCAAGTATCTACATATATTGTTCAAGTTCTAATTGTATGCATACAAACAGTAATATACTTATATAGTTTTAATATACATCAATGCTCGAGATTTCATCTAGCGAAAAAAATAGATTAAATATTCATTAGTGAGTATTAAAGAGGTCAAAGATTATATTGTCTACACTCTTTACCTACCACAGTTTTTACTAAAACATTTTAAGATATAAAAAAATTGTTCGTCACTTTGTTTTGATGACTTTTTCTGCACTAAAACATTTATCCTTGAAATTATAGAAACTTTTAAATACAATTTTATCTTCATTATTCACATGTTTGTCGTGTATTCACTCTAAACCGGAGTAACCTATTACTTTTATCATATTACTATATTAACTTTTCAAACTACGATAAAATGCAAGCAAACTAATATTTAAGTTTTGACATTTTTCTTCCACGAATAATTATATATAAATACCTATGTACTAATAAATAAGCAATATATAAAAACATGAATAACTTTAAAATTATCTGAGAACGAATTTCATACAATTTAGTTACGAAATGGAACGAAGTAATCTAATATCATACAACTAATATTGCTAGATTGGTATATATGGAACTATATTGAAATATTTTAATATTTATAAAACTATTTACTTCAAAGAGTATTTTTCTATACCTAGTTATTAATTACCAACCTACTTAATGAATTTCTTGACATATTCATTTTTTAAATTTAAATAAAACTATCTGTTTACCTATTAATTTATAAAATATATTTATAATTAATTACAATATTAGTATTAATTATTAAACTTATATTATTTCATCTCCAAATATAGGAAGGTAAAAATAAACGATAAAATCTGTTTGGCTTTGTACAAGGTTTTTTTTAGATCATCAACGTTTCACCATAGTGAATCAATTATTGTTTGTTGTTGTAGGTAATCTTCGTATTGTGAGTTGTAACATAGATTTTTTTTTAAAAATCAGTGTTTTATGACATATTTGAGTATACGGATATATATATATATATATATTATTTAATTTAAATATATTTAAACTATTAACAATATGAAAACAAAAATTAACAAGGATGATATATGATAAGTTTATACAAAACATGAATCGTATGAAGGGGAGATCAACCATGACAGAACCTCAGAAAACATCTTATTTTATTTTTGGTTATTATGATTTTTTCCGTATTATAGAAAATCTCTAAACCAATTTTTTTTAGTCAACGTGGGATTTGTGATATTGATGTGAGAGTGAACACTGGACATGTTTTTTGATAAAGAAGTTTAAGTGGTTAATTAATTGGAAACTTTTGTAGTGGTTTTTAGCAAGGTCGTTTACTATTTGTACTATTAAGTCGTTGTGGAGGACTGAATTTGTTAATTACCGTGGAGCACCAGTGATAAGTCTTAGAGTAATTGATTGAAACGCTTGGATATGGTGAATGTTTGTGGGTTTTGCTGGGCCCTAAATTTGGATTCCGTATGACCATACTCGTTTAATAATAGTTTTGTATAACATTAATTTGTTTTCAAGACTCAAGTTAGATTTAAGTAGAGGTATAAAGTAGATGAAGGCGAGAGTGTAGTTGTTTTCGTTTTCGCTTGGTGTGGTTTGACCCGGTTAATTTTTTATCCGGAGTGGTACCTACGTATTTGGTTGACTGGTGAAGTGAAATTAGTTTYTAATTGAATTTTAGTGCGAGGCATTCCATTTTGTTGAGTGAAGAGTTCACCTGAGAGGATTTTTCGTCAATGATTTTGATTTTCCAGTTTTTGGCCCAGAATTTAGATGTAATTGCAGATTTAGAGACGCAATATCAGTATTTATACTTGACATAAGTATTGTTGTGTCGTTAGCAAATGAAGTGAATAGAGTTTGATTTGTTGTATAGGTATAACAGTGATGAATATATATTCATTAATATATATATTATAAAGTATAGCAAAGAGGTCATTACCCCGAGGGACTCCAGCTTTAATATTCTGTATAGTTGAATAATGATTTTTTTGACGGACTAGAAATTACCGATTTTCTAGATGCGACTTTATTATTAAATAATATGGCGTAGGGAGAAAGTGTTTTAGTTTCATTAATAAAGTACTGATTCGAAATACATTTTTTTTTTACATTGGGTAAAAATGTTTTTGATTTAATTTCTTGTTGCCCGCGTACAAATATCTTAAATGACTGTAGTAAACAATTTATTAACTGAAGAATTATTGCGTTATTGATTTTAATTCCCTGCGTTTAGTTTTAGTTAGATAGATAAATACTTTCATAAATCTACTAAAAGAAAGTGAACACTTCTTTTAAGTAGTTTCTTTTATGTTGTACTTGTATACGTATCGTATTTTATTATAACGACCTATATAGGGAACTAGCTACTTTTATTAGGGAATTTAAATTTAATTTCAATTTAAATCAAGTTTATTCCTCTTATATTGGTAGGTGTCTAAATAAATATAATTTAATAATTTAGTATTCACTGAAATCTGTAAGTATTATAACAAGATTGTATCATAGCCAAAATCAGTTAGTTAAATAAAATAATTACCTATGTAAAGTATTGTTTTTCTTATTAGTATTTCAATGATTTTTTCTTTTTCATTTGAAAACTCACCTAAATGATTGTTTAACAGTTATTCTAAAGACATTTGAATAATTTTAAGTCAGATCAATAACAATAGTTCTAATAATAATAACAGTAAGTACCTCAATGGTTCTAGACCTTTTTTTTATGTAAATGTAACCATTAGCTACTAGTATTCAACACTTTTTATAATAAAAATATATTAAACAATTGAATGGTATATTTAAAAAAAAACGGGGATGCTTTTTATTTTATTTAAAAAAAAAATACAGTCTGCAGGAAAATGATAATTACACGTTTTATTTGAGTTGCAAGGTTCAATAAACACTTTAAATGAAAAATAAAAAAAAGGATATTGAAAATTAATAATGAATATGCTCTTATTGATTATTTATATTATTATGTTGTTCCATTATTAAGTTGGTGGCAATTACACGGTGATGGCAATAAAATAACTTTGACCGAAAAATTTAATTAATAATTATCTTATTTAGTTTATGTCACTCCTATGCTGGGTCCATAAGACAACGTCCTCCCTTGGTTGAGAACCCWAATAATCGTAAAATATACATATTTACACAACGCAGGTAGGTATTTAATATAAATGGTTATATTATATAGTTAAGATAGTATCCAAATAAAATTTAGTATTATTTTATTTTATATACATCAACCAGATTTTACAAAAGAGTGAGAATATATGTAGATGATATCATATGGTAAAAAAATAATATAATATGGTATAGTCTAACTATAGTCATAATATAAATATAAAAGTATGTATAACGAAGTAAAGCAATATCAATTAAGGACAAAAATCAAACTGAGTGTCTTTTAGTGTTTCTGTTTTCTAAAACTATTATGTTTTCCTGGTTTTCCAAAAACAAATGGTATATGTAAAGTCGTAAAATAATAATAATTAAATTGTCATCAAAAAAGTGTAAAGTTACGATACATAGTATATAAAAATATGATTTAGGCWCTTATTYGGGACTCGAGACTAGRCACCTAAGTTTAATGTTCAATAATACCTATTACGTTTAGCAACTACAATAAGATACTAAAAGAAAGACGATAAACTATATTGAATATACGTTTTGACTCGATCTAATATTATTATACACATAGGTATATTTAATCGTCCCGTTGTTGATTACAGTTGCGAAGTCAATATTTATTTTATTTTGGTATCGCCAAACGATAAACGTAAAATCGAATTTGAAAAAAAAAAATGTTTTTCAGTCAGTTATTCTACCGGCACGGGTACGTGCGAACACGATACCTCCACTAATCGCCTCCGCGGAGATGACGCGTATCGCAAACGGCAAACGGTGCGCAACGGCAAACTATTGCTCGAACAAACAGCTGTTCCGCGACAACGCCTGGGCGCTGATAACACGCGCACAACCGATAACCAAATTGTAGTCCGCGTACCCTTTATTTGACCCCGCCGTACAGTTTTTGGTTCATCTGCACGAGCACTATCCAGACCGACATCATCCAACCCATCGTCCCGTCGACATTAGCTCGAATTATTTTTCGTTTTTTACTACCGACCAAACTCAGCCACGATGATGATGATCTCGAAACCGACAACAATGGCGGTCTGCCTGTGAGTATTAAAATGGCGACGGCACTCTAATAACGCCGCCCGCTCTCGGCCGAAACGTGGAAGTCCAAAGTTTTGTTTTTTTGGTTTCCATCCCAGTTTATACTTTTTGTCGTTACTTCATCTATGGCGCCAATGACCGAACGGACGTTCCGGCGTTTTCGGTGCACGTCATTAATGCTTATCGTTTCCCATGTGTTTGCAGAAAGAGCGCCGCCACCGGTCAACAGCAAAACCGGAACATGGCCACTCTGAAACAGATTTCGATGCGTTTAAAATCTGTGACGAACATCCAGAAAATCACCCAGTCCATGAAGATGGTGTCTGCCGCCAAGTACGCAAGAGCAGAACGTGAACTGCGTCAAGCCCGTCCGTATGGTGAAGGTGTCAAGGTAAATTATGATAATAATAAAACTATAAACCTAAATTTAGACAAAGTATCAAATTACCTTGTATGCTAATTGTCAGAGACCTTGATCATAATTTTGATGTGCAAGTATTATCTTTTTTTTAGGCATTTTTTGAAAAGTCTGGTGCCATCGAAGCAGCAGATACTGGTGACAATAACAAATTAATTGTCGCTATCACATCCGATCGTGGTCTTTGTGGCGCAGTCCACACAAATGTTGCAAAAACCATTCGTAATGAATTAAGCGCAGAGGCTGTAGAGTCTCCTCAATCAAAAGTATTCTGTGTGGGTGACAAGTCTAGAGCACTTTTGCAGAGGTATTATAAAATCAAATAATTAAAATGTAATATTAACCTGTCTACTGTCTAGTTTGAATGTAAATAGGTACTTATATAAATATTATTAGTCATACGCTCAACATTTTCTCAATTCTGGTCAATTGTATTAATAAATCATAAATTTGAACATTTAGTTTATAAACTAATTAGGTTGATAGGACTGATTTAAATGTAATTACATATTTTCATATTGAGCCATTAAATATTAAGGGATATAAGTTAATTCTTAAKTAATATTATTCGTTACTAAAAAATAAAATTAACATATACATATTCTATATTATTAAATTTTTTTGTTAAACTATTTCATTAGTACCAATTTATATCCACTACTTCGTTTGTATGTCTTATAAAAGAATGCCATATATTTCCGTAATTCAGGTGTTGTGACTTTTTAGTATTTATTGATTGTACTTTGATATATAGAAATAATATACATACTATTTAATATGGGTAAATTGACGTCTTTCTTCCTGGCTGTCTAATATAAAATGACAATGTTTATGAATATTTAAATTATAATTAATAATTTTATAATCTGTGAATATTATAGAAAAAAATAATTCAATTATCAACTAGTTAAGTATATTTATTTAACTAGTGTCTATATAATTACAAATTACTCATGTGTAAGTTAAATAAAGTTAATTTATAAGTATAATAATAAATTAATAATGCTTATAATACCTTTATTTTATTGGTTTGGTGTGCATAAACCTGAGAGATAATTTATTCCTAAAAGATAATAATAGTATTTATAAAATATTTTTGAAAACATTATTATTAAATATAGACTTTTCTTAATGACATTTAATATTTATATTATATTATATTTTATGTCCATTATACCTCTAAGTTCCTTAATTAAATTAAATCTTGTTAAACAAAATATTTAAAAAATACTTTTTCAATTGACCACAGAAACAAGACATACTATATTATGTTACCTAATACTAATTAGTAATTATAATTTGACCAAATTTACAATTAACAGTATAATATACATATTAACATTTATTTCGTTAATTTATAAATGAAATGCATGATTATATTAAAAATGATTTTCCTTTTTCATGAGGCCTTACAACAATTAGTGGAGCCCTAGATAGGTTTCTACTTAGTATAATAAATAATCTGGCACTATTGGCAATAGTTCATCAAAAAATTAGATAGTCCAGTTAACTCATGTACAATTTGGTTGTTTATACATGATACATTTGACATATTTTAATTGTAATGTTCATAGACTTTATTCTCAAAATATTGCTGTAGTGGCTAATGAAGTTGGCCGCAAACCACCTACATTTTTGGATGCATCTAAAGTGGCAAATGAGTTGATACAATTGGATTTTAACAGCGGAAAAATTGTTTTCAATCGATTCAAGTATTTTTATCTTTGGCTTATTACCTATTTATACTTATAATTTTACTATAAAATCATATTTTTGACTGTAAATTATTTGTTTCAAGAACTGTTGTGTCTTATCAGACCGAAGAAGTTCCATTGCTGAGCGCTAAAACTATGTTAGCTGCACCAAAGTTACAATTGTATGACAGTATTGATCAAGGTGTTATGGAATCCTACCAAGAATTTACTGTTGCTGCTTTATTATACTACACAATGAAAGAGTCTGCTTGTAGCGAACAATCATCGAGAATGACTGCTATGGACAATGCTAGCAAGAACGCAGGTAATTTAAATTTTATTATTATATTTAACATATTATGATTTTTAAATCTTAAAAAATACTTACCGTTTATACATTTTGTTTAGCTGAGATGATTGGCAAGCTCACTTTGACATTCAATCGTACTAGACAGGCCGTGATCACTAGAGAGTTGATTGAAATTATTTCTGGAGCAGCAGCATTAGAATAATTGTATTTTATAAATATCATAAAATTATAGAGTTGGAGAACAACAGTAAAAGAAATGAAATTCCATACATTTGAAAAAATAAAATCAGTGGTATTTATCAATTAGAAATTTATGTGTAAATTATTTAAAACAATTATCTGGGATTAGTTATATTAAAAAGCTATAACATATATCAATATACAAAAACTTTTTATATTCTAATAATTCAACTGTAATAACTTATTATTAAAAATTAGACATGGAAAAAAAATGAAAACATAATTTTATGGTGGCCACTGGTGAGCAT